GAGTGCGGGCGAGCGGTGGTTCATGGCGTCGACGGCGTGGCAAGCAGGTCGCAGGGCATTCAGAGCTTGATCACCGGGTGACACGATCACCTGACGCGCGTAGAACGTCTGCCAACTGATGGATCCCAACCCAAGTGCTGCTCCAGTCCTCTTGACCCACCCTCCACTTTGCCCCGCTGCAACTGGACCCGCTGCAGCTTCACGGGGGACGCGTCCGTCCACGCCAAGTTCCGCAACGTGCTGGCTGGCCACACGATCGTGGGACCCATTACAGTTATGCTGCCCGCCAACACCGGCGAGGTGGATTGCATTGCCTACATCAAGCTCCGGAAGGTCACACACACCCCTTGATGCGGTGCAGCACCCTTGGGGCCAGGCCCGTCGTACAGTGCCAGCTGCCAGCTGGCCCTCACCGAGGGCCTGGCGGGGGAGCCTGGGGGGCGGGGCGCGCCATGAGCGAGGCCGCGCGAAGTAATTGATTTACAATGTGGCGGTGTCGGTGTCTGCTGCCCCGCACCTGTGCCAGCGCAGAGGTGCCATGGGGGGAGGGGGCGGCTCGGCTCCTCCCTGAAGGCTGCCACACGTTGACAGAGGTGCCACCCTCTGAGCTTGACTGTGCCAAACTTACAGCAGGATGGACATTTCGGATCGTTTCATGGGTGTCTTGTGAGCCGTTTGCCCCCCACCCTGCTCGTCAGGCGGCGGTCGACTAAAAAATCCGTATGCCCAGGGGTCATGCCGCTGTGTGCGGCTGTGCATTGCATCGCAAGCGTTGAAGCGTGAGTGTGTGTCTGTCTCCAAGCCGTGCCTGGTTCGCTTGGCCGGTTAACTTCGTATGCACTGCCGTGACCAGCAACCTGTGCGTGCCTTGAAGTGCTTTGACCAACTGCTGTTGTCCGCGCTGCCACCTTGCCCCATCAGGGTTGAGGGTTGTGTGTATCACTGTTTTACTCTGCCATTGTGAGACCATCGCATCAGCCCGCGCGTGTTCAAAACCGCTGTGACTAACCGCTGTTGCCCATGCTGCCACCTTGCAAGTTATGGTTGAGGGTTGAGGGTTCAGGGAATAATACAGCAATGCTTTACGCGGCTCCGACAAGGCTGTCGCGCACTCATCGCTGTGGCTTTGGGTTGCCCTGCTGCACATGGACAGCGGACCATGCACGCTGCGCCACGTTTGACCAGCCCCCTTCCCCATGGTTTTGGCGCCAGTCGTGGGTACTTGTGTTGCGGTTTGCTCGCTCTCTTGGGGAACCTGGCGCCCTCGCCAAAAAAATGTAAAATCCAAAAATTGTCAGTTGTGGAGGCCCACGGTGGGGTCCATGCAATGCTTGTCCGGGGGCAAAATGGGGCTAGCGTGCATATTGATTGGCCGCGCAACTTTGCAGCTGTCACAGGAATGGCAGCAGCACGGCGTCCAGCTATGGCATTGCACTGCATTCAAAATGAACTTTCTGGCGCTCAAGCAGCCTGGGCTTTCTGGCCCTCAGTCAACATGAGCGAGCAGGCTTGTGGGATAGACCTCTGTACATGCAAGCATGCGAGCTTTTTCCTATCATGGGGGACATAGTGCGTGACGCAGTTCACTTTGCTCGGCTGGCGCACGCCTCAACGCAAAAGAACCACCCGTCAGCACGGTGTCCACGATGACCCTGGTGCATGTGGCGAAGAGGATTCCAAAGACATGGCATGTTATGACCACGCTGAGATTGCACTTGCCCGCAGATTGAAGCAGCATGCTATGTGGGACCACGACTGAGTTGGGCGGGCGGCCGTTCAGGTGGGCACCCTCCACACAGCAGTTTCAGCAGCCCCGCAGCTGGCCTTCGACCATCAGCGCGATTGTTCTTGTACATATTCCCCTGCCAGCCTTTATTCAGTGTGCTGCTCTGCGAAACGCGCGCTGTACTTTGGATCTCGTGTAGATCAGGCACGGCCGCAGCTCTGTTTCCAGCGCAAAATACAAGTAATCAGATATAGAGTATAAATTGGCGTCGTGCTCGTGCGACCACGCGACGAGAAGCGTGACCGCCCGGCCCACACGGCCGCGGCGCACATCGTGCGCACGCACTTCAGGCCCACATCAGCTGCAATGGCGGAGACGCTGGAGTGCGTCTCCATCCACGGACCCACGCTGGCGGTGCTGCTGCAGTCTGTGATAACCTCTGAGCGCGCCTGTGACGGCCTGCTGTTTGGCAGCGTGACTACCAGGCGCTCGGTGCAGGCGCACGACGCCCATGGTGGGTGCCCGGTCACGGGCAGGTGCGCTCCAGCTCGGCGCCCCAGCTCGGGCACACAGACTTGAAAGCAGCAACGTCCACCCTGGAAATTCAATTTTGGTAGGCCGCATCCCTCGCAAGGCCTTGCGCCATGTGCGTGCTGCTGCACCAGCACAACAAGACGTGCGCCGCCCATACAATTCGTCAGTTGCACCCTTTGCTCTCGTACGCGCAGAGGCCGTGTCGACCGAGGAGCACACCGCTCTGATAACAGGCACCCTGGCCTGCTGCAGCACGGGCAGCTTCTATGATGGGACGGGCGCCATAGATGGTGGGGCGCAGCGGCGACACCGGCGAGCGCCTCCCAGCAACCATCAGGCCTGCAGCACGCGGCCCAGCGGCTGGCAATTGAGAACACGCTCGCAGGGTGTTGTACAAGTCAGAACAACCCCTTTCGCATGCTGGCAGCTGTCTCTTACTAGGGGCTCTGGCTCGCAGCAAACGCAGCCGGAGAGTGCTGGTGCGCGTTCCAGGCTGGCCTGCGCGCCAGCCGTCCCCCCCTCCCATTATGCGCGCACGCCTCGCAACGCCCCGCAGGCGCACGCTTGGTGGAGCTCTGCGCCGGCGCAAAGGCCTCGGTCAGTGCAGCGCCCACGCCTGCGCCCGCGCCAACGGGCGTGGCGTCCGAGGTCCTTGGCTGGTTCTCCTACCGGCCCGCCACCATAGAGCAGCCCTCTGCCCGCGAGGCCGCCGTGACAGCCGCGCTGCAGAGCCACCTGACGACCGCCGCCGCAGCGGCCATGACAGGGGCGGCCACGAAGCGGCGCCAGCAGCAGCCGCCTTTGTTGGACGCTGGGGGCTGGGCGAGGCGGCCGGTTGTGTTTTTGCTGATCACGAGTGGCACCCAGCATGGCGGCGCAACTCTGCACCTCAGCTATCGCTGCCATCAGCTGCCGGGCCTGCAGGCCGCGGCCGACGGCGGCGGCGGCAGCAGCAGCAGCGGCAGTGGCAGCAGGCAGCCCTCCCAAGGCGGTGCGGGCTCTCGCCTGGGGGCAGGCGAGGGCGGCGCGCTCCATGCAACAGAGCTGCGAGTTATCAACCTGGGGAAGCTGCTCAGCGCCGCCCACGGTTGCGCGCCATTCGAGACGCCCGCGCTGTCGTCGACGCTGTCTTGTGGCGCGTGGCTGCCGGCGGCAGCGGAGAGGCGGCTTCGGGAGGCGGCGGCAGGGGCGGCGGGGGAGGCAGCGGAGGCGTTGTGCGGCGCACTGCTGGCTGAGCTGCGGGAGCTGAGCGGCCAGGTTGGGGCGGGAGTCGGGGGGAGGGGAGGTTGAGGTTGGAAGGGTTGGGCTCGAGCGACTGCCACGTCCTGGTGTCACAATCACGCGGGGCGGCCAACGCCGCGCTGCAACTCGCAAATCTGGAGGGCGCTCGCAACTCCCAGGGCCTGGCATTCCTCGGGCCCAAACCCGTCCCTGCCTCCCCGACCGCCCCCCCCCCCGGAACCGGTGCCCGCCGCCACCGCCAGGTCGGCGCCAGCGCCGCGAGTGTCGCGGCCGCCAAGGAGCGGAATGAGAGACTGCTGCTGCGAATACGAGCGGCAGGGGCGGGAGCAGCAGCGGGGACATGAGTCAGATGCGTCAGCTCGGGTGCACGCAGACGTAGTCATCGCGGTCCTAGTAAGCTGCGACACCCGCCCAACACGCAGCGCTGTCCGGCTGCGCCCCTGCTTCCCGCGGCAGCCGTCTTCGCATCAAGTCCGGATCGCAACGGTCTGAAGTCGGGGCTCGTGCGCTCGCACGCGCCGCGCTGCTGCCGCAGGCGCCGCCCAAAGAAGGGGGGGTGCCTCACCCTGACTCCTGATGCGACCAGCGAATGGGGCGGGGGGCCGTCCAGGCTGAGTCGGCAGGGTGTACCTCACCTGGGCTTTGGAGCAGTTGCAAGGCCTCGAGCGGTTGCGAGGCGTCGAGGGGCTGGGCTTGCTCTGGAAACGGCGCACCTCCCCTGGGTCCACCCCAGTGCCCCGGCGGCACCACCAGTCGTCAACCATCACACGCGCCACGCCCCGCTGTGACCCCACGGTTTGGAGCTGGCCTGGCGCTAGCTTAGGCCACAGATTCAGCGCTGTATGTAATGAAGTGTGCATCGGCCAAACCGCGGCGGATTACAAAGGGGGTAATGTGCAGCAACTGACTTCGCAGGTGAGTTCCCCTGGCAAGGGGAATCCCTCTGACACATTGCTGTGAACCAGTGACCCTACTCCGCCTAGTACGAAGCCGACCAACGTTAGCACCCTGCACACCCGCTTGATCCCTAGACGCGCTGGTTGTAAGCTCGACTGGAGTTCAGGTGCACGGCACGGGCACACGCCAGCCTTTGGGCTGGCTCCTGTGTCGGCCATGACTAGAAGGCTTCTAGGCTGTGTGTTTGGCCTCATCTTGCTGGCTCACCCGCTGCTGGCGGACGACGCCAGTGACCAGGACCTGCCGCGGCCCGAGTTCACTAGTGCTGAGCGGGCCAGAAAGCTGTCGGCAAACGTAGATTCGGGGTACATAGTACTTCTCAACAGCAAAACTGTGGTTGCGTCGGCCTACGCGGCGTTCACAGCCGCCCACCCACGCAGCAGCTCGCTCGCCGCAGCCACCGCGTCTGAAGCAGTCACCTCTCTGGAGGCGGGCGCGGCATCAACGCCGACTTCGGCCGCAGCCCAGGTGTCTGATGAGGCGCAGAAACGGTTCAGCGAGCATGCTGCCATACTGCAGGAGGTCGTCGGCGGCGGCGCCACTTCCACCGCGCCGTTCTTCCCGCTCTCAGCGTCCGCGGCGCCCAGCAGCAGCGCGCGCCCTGCGGGGCCCCGGATGCTGCAGCAGTTTGCGTACGTAGCAAACGGCTTCTCGGTGGCGGGCCTGAGCGAGGAGCAGGTGGCGCGGCTCAGGGCGCGCCCGGACGTCAAGTCGGTCACCCGCAACGCCTTTGCTGTCCCGTTGACCGTCACCACCCCAAACTTCCTCGGCCTCGCCGGCCCAGGAAATGTGTGGGAGAAGGAGTTTGGGGGTCCCAGAGCAGCTGGCGCCGGCGTCCTGATTGGCGTCATCGACACAGGTGGGGACGTGTAGGCGGCCAACTGCGGCAACCACGCGCCCAAATGAAATTTCCGTGCACATAAAAATCCCCGCACGGTTGGGCACCCGCATCCACCCGCTGATTGAAACGATCGACAGCCCTCCCGCCTGGACGGCTCTCTCAACCACCACAAAACCTTTCTGGGTGCAGGTGCGGGTGCACCAAGGCTGCGCACATGCTCCAGAACGTTTCCAGTGCACGCACGCCTTCCCCAGTGCCCCCTCCTGCTCCCCCTTGCCCCAGGCACCACTCCATCGTCGGTCTCCTTTGCGAGCGCCGCCGCGGGCGGCTCGCCCGCCGGCAGCGCAGTGAGCTACGACCTTGACAGCAGCGCGTGCTCCGAGCCGGGCACATGCACCGCTGGCAAGCTGGTCGCGTGCCGGGCCTTCCAGCAGGATTTTGTCGCCAGCTTTGCGGGCGACCCCGCTTACGCCGTGGACCCAAAAGATCTCAGCAGCTGCACTGACTACAGCGGTCACGGCACCCACACGACGTCAACCGCGGGCGGCGACTTTGGCGTGTTGGCGGTGTCCAACCAGGCCAAGCTGTCGGAGGGCGGCATGAGCGGCATGGCGCCAGGCGCGGGCGTGGCGTCATACAAGGCGCTCTGGTGCGCAATCGTGCCCACTAGCCTGCGGGCTGGCTGGCCGGGAGGCTATTGAGCTTTGTGTCCCGGTGTGCGGGTGCTGCGCCAAGCCCACCGGATGGTACAGAGGCTTGGCTTTGGGCATCCCCCTTCTGCACTCCTCCCCTCCTCCGCGGCAGCAGCAGGTGCGGCAGCAGGCGCGGCAGCAGCAACAGAAGTGAAAGCAGCAGCGGTAACAGCAGCCGCAGCACCACCAAAAATTACCTGGCAGTATCTGTTACATAACGGTCCCCTGTTTTGCTTTCAGGCTCGCTTCCCCCACCTCCCTGCTCTACGATTGACCGAGATGACACGCCGCCTGTGCCACCCCACCCCGCAGGTTCATCACCGACAAGTCGAACAACGACACTTTCCCCACAGGCACTTCCGGCGACATCGTGGCGGCCATCGAGAAGGCGGTCCTCGACGGCGTCGACGTGCTATCCCTCTCCCTCGGGTTTGGTGACACCCCAGCTTTCCACGGAAACGAGCCGCTGTACGAGGCGTTCAGGGGCGCCGCAGTCGCGGGCGTCTTCATCGCTGCCGCGGCGGGCAACAGCGGCAACTCGGCGGGCACCGTGGAGAACAACCTGCCGTTCATCACGACAGTGGCGGCCGGCTCCCACGACCGCGACATTGTTGCCACGGCGACCGTCAACGGCGCAGAGTATGTCGGCGCTTCATCGACTTTGCTGCCGGCTGGGCCCGCGGGCGTCTACTATGCGGGCGACGCCGACGCGACGGGCAGCCTCTGCATCGGCGGGACGCTGACCTCCGCCGCGGCCGGGAAGATCGTGCTGTGCAAGCGAGGCCAGAATGACAGGGTGGCGAAGAGCAGGGAGGTGCTGCGCGCGGGTGGTGTCGGCATGGTCCTTTTCAACGTGGCGGGCGGCCTCACCAACCTCGAGCCAGATGTGAGCGCGCCGGGGGTGGGGGTGAGGGACCGAAATCATTGACAGCGCAAATGCTCTCAAGATTGGCCGATGCCACCGCATGGACTCCAACCTCGCGCGAGGGGTAAAGGTGTTTGCTTTTCTTTGCTCTGCATGGCGGTCCCCCTGGCGCATGCCGCCATCGCCCTTAGCGTCGCCCACACACCGTACCCCACAGCCCGAAAGCCAGAATCGACTGTTTGAAGCCTTTCCCCTTCATGCTTCTCTTCCCAGCGTGCTCCCACCGAACACTCGATAAAAACACAACCCCGCACCCATCACCCCGCGCAGGACCACTCCGTGCCGACCGTCCACCTCAGCGCAGAGGACGGCGCGGCCGTCCTCGCGTCCTACCTCGCCGCCCCCGCGACCTCCGTCGGCGCCGTCTCTGCGCGCCGCATCGTGTCCACCAAGGAGGCCCCGCTGGTGGCCGCCTTCTCGTCGCGAGGGCCAGCCGCCGCCGAGAAGGGCGCGCTGCTCAAGCCAGACATCATGGCGCCCGGCGTGGCGGTGTTTGCGGCGGCGCCGAGGGATTCGCAAAGCAACAATACGGGGCAGACGCTGAGCGGGACGTCCATGGCGACGCCGCACATCGCGGGCATCGCCGCCCTTATCCGTGCCAAGCACCCAACGTGGGTTTCTGGTCGGCGTCGTGCCGCACTGTGACAATGCTGCCTTGCTGCTAAGTTGCCGGGGCGCTCGGTAGGTTGATTTTGTCCTGGTGCTTAGCCATGCGCCACTCTGACACTGCTGTGTTTTTGCAATACGAGGAGTGGCCCTGATGCCTTCAAGGCCCCGCGGGCCATGCTCACCTCCTTGCCGCCTTGGCCCTGTCACGCAGATGGGGCCCCATGGCCGTAAAGAGTGCTATGATGACATCAGCCAGCCAGGTCACAAACAAGGGCAACCCCATCGATGGCACACCCTTTGCTTACGGCGCGGGGCACATTGACCCGGTGTGTGGGTGGGCCGAGAAAGTGGGAGTGGTGTTGCGATCGCACCGTGCACAGCATCTGTGCAGCCAGGCTTTGCGCCTGCTCCCATGTCACTCTGCGGACACGGCACTGAAGGATGGGGAACGGTCTGCTGCACGTTGCCTGCCAACTTTCCACCCCTAAATCCCTCTGCGCCTGGCGCATCCAAGCTAACACGCCCTGCAATCGCCGACCGCCTGCAGGCGCGCGCCCTGAACCCCGGCCTGGTCTACGACTCCCAACCGAGGAATTGGGACATCTACACGTGTGCCGCCTCCCCCTTCGCGCGCTCTGCCGCCTGCAAGGCCCTATGCAAGCCCGCCAAGCTGTGCTCCCGCCCCCAGGCCCTGCGAGACTTCAACACCCCATCCTTCTCCTTCCCAAACCTCACGTGCACACAGCGCCGCGTCAAGGTCACTGCCAAGCGCACCGTCGCCTTTGCCGGCACCGGCGCGGCCACATTCAGCGCAAAGTTCTCGCTGCCACCCCTGTTCACGGCGTCGGTCAAGGTGGCCAAGGTGGGCAGGGGCAAGGCGGCCGCTCAGACCAGCAAGACGCAGCTGCAGGTCAAGGCCGCGGGCGACAAGAGGGACTTCACGGTCACACTCGTGGCCGGGCCGAAGGCGCCCCTGGGCTGGAGCTTCGGCAGCCTGGTCTGGACGGACAGCGGCGGTGTGTACACCGTGCGCACCCCCATTGCGATTCAGTGCGTGTGACAGGGCGGCGGAAGGCATGCCCAAGCGCACGTGTAGCAAACTGCATAGCAATTGCGCAGCGTGTATCCAGCAATCGTACGTGTGTGCAAACATACAGCAAACGAGGCTTGGCAAGGCCCACCCCGGTCATGCACGCTACAGCGAGGCGTGGGCTGGGTGCTATCCCCGTGGCCAGGCTTCCTCGGCAGGGTTGAGTGCTAATCTCCACTTGGGTTTGCATATTTTTACCTGAGCCGACATGTTGCGTGTACATTGAGCAACGTCGTGCGCACTAGCCGCCCGTTTGACGGCACACGGCGGTGCGCGCTCATAGGCTGGTGCGCAGCACCCGGCAAGGTGCGAGTGATTCAACCGCCTCTGCGGTCTGTTTCCATGCAGGTCTTTTGATTACAAATCACGTTAATCAATTCACAGCACAGCAAGTGATGGGCCGAGCACAGCGCTTTGCGATTTTTGGGCGCCATACCTGCGCGACTGCCGTTGATCCCCTCCATGCATGTTACAGCAGCGCCTGCACATACAGATGCACACCCAGCGCTTCTCTTTATTGCGGCGTGTCATGCAGGCAGTTGCCTGCTGCTAATCGCGCTGCTGCTGGGACCCTGTCGTGGTTTGCACGGGGGCTATTTGGTCCCGAGCAGTACATTCTTCACTCATTCCAGCAATCTGGCACAGGGACACTGGCCACACTCACATTTGGCAAAGCACAGGCGCTCTGTGGACTCAGGGCAGCTGCATGTCTTTATTCAGTCTTGGCGCCTCGCTTCTGCAGTTCAAATCTCTTATCAACCCACATCGCTCAGGGCCTCAACATCTGGCCCACCTCATCTGGTGCCATGGAACGCTGCAACAAATCACCCATTGCAGCGCTCTTTGCATCCGTTAACACCTTGCGTGCATCTGTCTGAGTGCAAAACAGTTGTCGGTGAAGATCCCGTTGTACAGATGCATCCTGCCTATGCTGGTTATCCCCATGTAACCAGTGCAATTCGCTGGTTGTGCAGCAATCTTAGGGTGCCTCCATGCAAATGCAAGCGAGTGCGCACCTTGGAGCGAGTGGCTGCGCACGAGGAGCGCAACAATCCAATTAGCAAACAAAAGAAATTGACAGGCTACCTCAACTGCCTCCGACTCGCAAGCAGCCGCAGCTGTCTCACCGGGACGTTCAGCAGCACACGTGTGGCATGCAGCGGAATGCAAGAAGCGAGTGTGGTATCTCCTGCCCCCCAAAAAACCACCTCTGAGCATGCAGGCAGTGGCGAGTACGCGGCCAAGGTGCACCAGACATTGTTGCTCGTTGGCCAAGGTGTCACTACGTACGTCACCCAGTGTTGCACTGTTCAAAAACCAGCACACCCTCCTACTTCCAGCAAACTTATTTCGAGTGGGGCAGGGATACCCCACTTGCTTTGTGCACTCCGCTGGTTGCCGCACACCTGCTCCTTTGATCCCCGGTGAGACGGTGACGGCCGACTACGACTCCAAGGTAGTTGAGGTATACTTCTATTTCTCCTTATGATTGATCCAGGTCCTGACACTCTTCTCTGATTCTTTGGTCGCCTCGCATGCCACTGTGCTGAAATCGGCAATTCAGCGCAGATCAAACTGAATTCTGGCCACAAATTTGGCGTATATAATATATAGTCGTTTGTGCAATCAATCATGTTTATCTCAACTAGGAGTCCGGCTGGGCTGGTGATAATGACGATGGCGATCTTCGCCGTGTCGCAGGTTGCGTATGCAGTGCCACTGGTGCGTCGGCACAAACGCTGTCTATATAAGGCGCCAGGGCAGGCTTTGGGCTGCGCACGCCTGGCTGAAGATTGGGCCGAGGGGCGCCTGTGAAGTCAGAGCTGGAGGATCCAGGTTTCCGGTTTCACGAACAGCTCGCTGTGGCTTGCGGCGGGTTATACATATGAAGAGAGCTGAATCAGGAGCAAGGAAGGCTTTTTCATGGAAGCAAACGCCCCTCTTAACCCTCCTTCGCAGGCGGACCCCGCCCGGCCGTACCTGAACCCGGAGCCGCCTGCCACACCGCAAGCGCGCGCGTGGCAGGCGCCACCACAGGGCGCTGCCTTCCAGTACCAGCTCAGCGAACAGTTCTCGGCGGCGTCCAACACCGTCGCGGGGGTCTCTGTGTACTTCGTTGACCTGTTTGACACCCCAGAGGCAGAGGTGAGGGCGGCGTGCCCCCTAGGGCCCTGCCACCACACGCGCCAAAAAGCGGCCCGGCCTGCGGCGCAGGTGCTGCCTGTTCGCAGAAGCCAGGCTGATATGCGGCCATAGACCTGCTCTGTACATTGAAGGTGGGCCGTGACGCCGCAGAGCTGCCAATGGCCGCCGCCCTTCTCATCCACGGCGGTCTACGCGTCCGGGTGCGCCGACGCATGCCTCGCACAGCAACAAGCAATCATATGTGCGCGCCTCGCCCCGCCCCTGGCCGCCTCGCCCCACCCGGCGCGGCGTCCTTGCCAACTGTAGGTGTTGAACTTGCGAGCGGCGGGAAACTATCCCGTCTGCTACTTTTCTACCTCCTATGAGAGCTGTGAGCACTGCTGTGTGCTGGGAGCGGGGGGCGCTGGGTGGGGGCCTGGACCGTGTCGACCCCTGTCACCCCGTTTCGGCGGCAAATCCCCCTTCTCAGCTGAACTGGCCTGGCACGGCTCTGATTCGCCCAGCCTCTTGGCATTGCGAGTTGCCTGGGAAGCATACAGCCTTGAACCATCACCCACCCGCCACGGCCCCGCGTCTACCTGCGTCCGCGCCCAGGGCGCGATGACGTGGCAGCCTTCCCCCCACTGGCCCTGGGCAAGGGCATGGAGGGTTGGTCAGGGGAGCGCTGGGTGGACGTGCGCAGCCCCGACATCAGGGCCGTCGCCAGAACGGTGAGCCGGGGCATTCTAGGCTCAACTCTTGCGCCAGCGATTCCAAAAACCACGACAAACAAGCAGGTGTGCGTGCAAGCAGGCGTGCGTATGTGCGTGTAACCGTGTAAGCGTGTTGGCGCGAGAGTGCCCGTGTGCATACGCACACGTGTGTGCGTGCGTGCGTGCGGGTTGTATGCTTGCACTTTGCGCTCACTGCGCTGCACCTGCACCTGCACCCGTTGAAGCTGGATCCTTTCTGTCGTCCCACAGCGTCGCCGCTGCTCCTCGCCTCAGCACGACTGCCGCACCCTCGCAACCCCCTGTGGCAGCGCATGGAGCTCTGCAAGAAGAAGGGCTTCCTGGCCGTTGACCCGGACAACGTGAGGCTTTGACAGCGCAGGCAGCGAAAACATCCTTGCGTGTACTCAGTGCATTTGTGTTGCGTTAGTTGGGGGATGTTCGTTGGGGGGTGGTTGGTGTCCCTGCTACCAGCTGCAGGGTCAGGACCTGCTGGACCAGCCTGCATCAAGCATTGCACGGATCATGAGATGACGAGTCGATTAAGCGCGATCGCTCCCATCCATGCCGCTCCTGGGTCTGCGCCCAGCCGGCGCCACAGCTTGGCATCGTCACAAGCGCCCACATGTGCTGGACCCGTTCCCTGTCTGCCTGCCGTCATACGCCCTCGGTTCGCCGCACCCTCGACCTCTGCCCGCCGTAAGAACGGCGCGCTCCCCCCTCCACCCCCCCTCTCAAAAGGTGGACCTATCGTCCACTGACACCGGGTTCAACCTCAGCCCGGCAGACCAGCTGGCGTTCATACAGTACCTGGCTGACACCGCCCACTCCCTGGGCCTGGCCTTCAGCCTCAAGGTGGGCGCAGCTGCCGCACCCCGCCCCAACCCACACAGACAGCCCCGCCTTGACCCACACGCGGGGCGGCAAGCGGCTGACCGCTAAGGTGCGCTCGGCTGTGCTGGCAGTGCGCTATGAATTGAATCGTCTGGCTGCCGGATGCGCCCCGCCAGCCCCCAAGGGCGGGGCGTTGCATACGCTAGCGATGCGCGACGTGCACGTTCTCAATCGGTGTAGGGCTGTGCAGCTGAGGCACCCTGCTCAGCCCAATGGCAAGGAGTTGCCGTGCCTGACGTATGGCTAGTCAACCGCCGCACACCAAGTTGCGCATAGACCAGACCAACCAGGGCGTCTTATTTGCTCATTAAAAGACACCCCCCCCAGCTCTGCTCCTTGCCCCACTTCCTCACACCCGCCTGCCCCTCTTAAACCCCCCCTCCCCGCTTCCGCCTTTGCCATCCCTGCCCCACCCCATCGATCCCCCCAGAACACCCCGGGCCAGCTGCAGCAGTTGGTGGGGTCCATTGACATGGCGGTCAATGAGGTGGGCCCGGGGCTGATGGGTGAAGGGCGCGTTGGTGGGCTGAGTAGGCAAATACCTTGGGACCACGCACAGCGCAGGGCAGGGGATGGGCAGTGGCGTCGGGGCAAGCCACGGCTGTGCAGTTACCTGGAGGTTAGTCAAATGAAACGGTCGCCAGGAAGGCACAGCCTGAGCCCTGCCTCCCGGGTCTGCGCACTTCGGGCACCCTCGGGACCGCCCGCCGGCTGTGCTGCCCTTCACGAGCGCTGCGGGCATCGGGTTGCGGCGGCAAGCCCAGGGGTCGGTGCTGCGGGTGTCTATCTGCGGTTGCCCCCTCCTGCTGACTGTGCACGCCTGCACGGGGTCGACCTCTTCAGGAGTGTGCCGAGTATGACGAGTGTGAAGCGTACACAGTGGTGCGGGACGCCGGGAAGCCGGTCTACAACATGTGAGCGGGGTGTGCCTGTCTGGACATGGTTGTGGGTGGGGTGAGGGTGAGGGTGTGGGTGTGGGTGTGGGTGTGGGTGTGAGTGGGTGGGTGCGTGTGTGGGTATGGACCCGGATGAGCGCATCAGTGCGTGTGTGCGTATGTGTGCATGCGGCTGTGCCTTCCAGCTGCGAGGGCCTGGATTTGCCTGCGTGCTTGGCCTGGGTTGCCGCTGCAAGCGTGCGAGGCCACGTACAGAGCAATTTGCAGTATGCCGGAAAGCCGCGCTCTCTGACCCTCACCCCCCCACCCCATCCTCGTCCCGCCCCCAAAATCGCAGCGAGTACAGCGAGCCTAGTTTTGACAAGCTCTGCGGCCGCGCCCCGACCCTGGGCATCACCAGCATCTTCAAGGATCGCGCCCTGGGTTTTCAGCCAAGGACGCCCTGCCCGGGCCAGACCTGAGCTGGCGGATCTGCAGTCACTGTCAGCATCGGTTGTCCCTGTGCGTCACGCACTCGGGCCCATGGGGACTCCTGCCACCAAAGACAGGGCCGTCAGGTACTGCTCAGTACATTGACTCGTTCCAGGTACTGTGTTGGTGAGGGTGGGGATTGTGGATTGAACGTTCATTGCGTGAAAGGCGACTCAGGGATGTTGACTGTAGGGTCGTTGGCTTTGGCTGCTGTGCGGTCCAGAGCAGAGGAGCGACGGCGCGACCCTGGGTGTGTTATTGCAGCACCGTTGCACTCAATGGGATGAGGAGGCCAGGGTGGAGGCCTGGGCACAATGTTTTGCCCGGCCACCACTCTGGGCACCCAATTAGTCATGCCTGCCGTGAGCATCAGCACCTCTGCATGCTTTGTTTGATTTCTTGGAACTTCAAATTGCTTCCCTGCTTTTGGGGGGGAGGGGGCACAACACACAGTGGGGGACAGCTTCCTGAGCCATCACCCCGCCAGACCCATTTTTATCGCCATTCGCTCATCCCTCATTAGACACATTGGGGCTTTGTGGACAGTTCTTACAAACTCACTGCTGCCAGGGGTGGCTTGCCATGCATGCACTGAAGCTGCATGCTGCCCACATGTTGCTGTTGAGCTTGTTTTTGGCCTAGAGTAATGGACCAAGTGAGCGCTTGTCCTTGCGTACAGTGCTGTTGATACCTAAATTGCTCCGCTTTGGTGGATTCTGCTGACCTGCCTTGGAACCGCAGCTTCCCTGCTGCCCCCATGGCTGTTAACAATTGGCTGCGAGCAGACAAGTGCGCCCAGTCCCAGCCAAAAGTATTTTCTCCCCCCAAGCAAAGATCCACAATGCGCGTCAACGATTTACAGCGGCGAAACCACAGACTCGTGTAGCCATACATCTCGCTCACTCAAGCTCAAACCCCTCGCCTCGAGTGGGCGCGTCCAAAACGCTCAGCTGCCTGCGCTACGTCCGGTGCGGGCCGCTGTTCAGAGGGAGGAAGGGCGATCCATGCGAAGCAACCAATAAGGGGGCCGGCAGGGGCAAGAGCGGCTGAAGGCCGGCCTGGGGCCAGCTGCGGAAGGGCCGGCCCAGGCGCAACAGCCGACAGTCAGCGGGCTCGGCTCAAGTCAAAAAGCGGACGTGCCAGGCCAGGCCAGACCAGCTGCCGCGCTGCAACACAACTCGCCCGTCCAGACAAGACAGCCCCGCGCTGTCTATGGCCGGCCGAGGGGAAGCCGACAGGGAGGCACAGCTGCAACGTGAGCCTTGGGGCGCCCCTCAGCCGGCCGCCTGATCCCATCTCAAATCTGAATCAGTCCAGAGACGCGCGTTCTCAGCCACACAGTTGATGAAAAAGCAAGGCGTGACGCGGCAGCGCAAATAGGCGCATGCCCGCCGGCCTGTGGAAGAAGGGTCGTGCAGCCCAACGGCGCCCGAAGCGATCCCGCCCGCACGTGTGCTAAGCAGAGGCATGGCCGGCCCAGGCGCATGGGACCGGATGCGGCGCCGCAGTGCGCTCTGCGCGGCGGCATGGGTCAAGGCGCACACAGGCGCGCATTCGCACACCTGCAAACGCGCGCCGGAATGAGGCGGGCGCGGAGAGGCGTGGGGGCGCGCCGCCCTTCGCATGTACTCCGCTGCAAACTCAAACGCTTTGAGCAGAACGAGGTCTGCCCGCAGCGCAGCCGAGCGATGGCCACCCACAGCGCGCACCAGGCCGCATGCCAGCGCTTCAGCAATTCGTGTGTGGATGCGTGTGCGTATAGCGTTGCTTGTGCGGGCGCCCATGAGGGCGCCCCATGTTGCGTCGGGACGGGCGCCCCAGGTGCACGGCCAGGCCACTGCAGTGGATGGCGGCGCTCCAAAGCCACGCGCGCCGCCTGCCCCCGCGCCTGAGCGTCGCAACAACACACGCAACCACCCCCCTGCACGCGTTCTTCACATCTCTCAGCAAAATAAAAGCGACGAGGGCGCGGGCGCCCGGTGTGGCGCCGGGGCGCGCTTGGAGGGCCCAACAACGAGAGAGGCGGGGGAGAGGCGGTGGTGGCGCGGGCACCCCTCGCGCCGCGATGGGCGCACGCCCGCAGCAAATTCCGTCATGGCACAAAGAGAGGGAGAGGCGGGGGCGCGCGCGCGCGCGCGCAGCGGCGGTTGGTTGTGGGGCGTATGCTACACTCTCTCGTCACGGCAACGGCAGGGGCGGCGCCCAGTGGGCAGGGCGCGGCGTTGCTGGTTGCGTTCGTTGAGGCTCCGGTGGTGCTGGGGCACCGGCAAAGGGGGCGGCACCGCTTGAGAGAGATGGGGGGCCGGTCGGGCGGTCAGCGCCGCGCCCATTGCACAGAAAACCTGCCGCCTCAGTGCGCGTGCCCAGGCCACTCGGCGCCTCCTGTGGGCAGCGCGGGGC